TAAGCTCCCTGAACCCGTGCAAAATGCACCGCCGGGGCCCCGAACGCCACCGCCTGACAGAGCCGGGCCGGACTCACGCTGCGTTCACATGAAAGGAGGGCCGCGCTCACCGCCCCCAGGCTCCCAGCGCCAGGGCCATCTGCTCCTGAAAGGCCTGGGGATCTGTGGGGCCTGTGGGGTCTGTAGGGTGTGTGGGGCCTACAGGGCGTATGGGGCCTGCAGGGCCTGTGGGACCTGTGGGATCTGTGGGGCCTGCAGGGTCTGTGGGGCCTGTGGGGCTTACAGTGCCTGTGGGTTCTGTGGATCCCATGGGGGCTGTGGGTTCTCTAGGGCCTGTGGGGCCTGCAGGGCCTGTGGGTTCTGTGAGGCCTGTGGGTTCTCTGGGGCTTATGGGGCCTGAAGGTTCTTTGGGGCTCGTGGGTTTTGTGTGGCCTTTGGGGCCTGCAGGGCCTGTGGGTTCTGTGGGGCCAGTGGGATGTGTGGGGCTCGTGAGGCCTGAGGAGTGTATGGGGCCCGTGGGGCGTGTGCCCGTGGCAGTGGGGCGGAACCCAGCACTGCTAGGTTGGGAGTCGCACCGCAGCTCTCAGCTGCCCCAGCCACAGCAGCAGGGTTGTGGGGTGGGGGCCTTGACCTCCGTGTGCTGCTGTGGCAGCGTCTGCTGAAGCCCCCAGGCCTGGCGCTGTGCCCCACCACCCCCAGCTCCCCACCGTCCCCGCTGCGCAGCCCTCCTGCAGAACTTCTCCCGTTCGGACACGAAATCAACCTGAGCCAAACAGGACACGGCTGTACGGCCCCCGGCCCCTTTGTGGGGCAGCCCAGTCCCACCCCACATCCCCGCCATCCCCCGTGACCGGGTGCCGGGACGGCGGCCCTCGGGTCCCCATCTCCCCACGCTCCCCACGGGGCACCCGGCACCAGCTGGGATCCGGGTCAGGACCCTCTCCCAGGTCTCCCCAGCTAATCGCCCTGCCCCCCCCGCCGCCCCCACGTTGCCACCTGTGCCTCCTCACCCTTTTGGGGTCACCCTTTGCCACCCGCCCGCCCGCCCCGGGCCTCTTAATGAACTAAAAAAGTGACAAATCCCCGGCAGAGCTGGTCACGTGCGGCCAGCGGCCCCCGGCCCCGACCCCCGCCCCGGCCCCACCGCCCCGGTAAGCTGACGCAGCGTCTCTAAGCGTTAGCAGCTTTGCCCGCTAATAGGATTAGGGAGGTTTAAAACTGTCATTTGAGTGAACTAAACCCCCTGATACTCTGCATTGCACCTTCTTAACCAATTTGCCTTCAATTAGGGTAATTGGGAAACTAGCAAAGAAGTATAGCATTAATATTTTAAAGTGATGAAGCGATTACGGGCCTTGGACGAGGAAGCAAATCAATTTGCTATCTGCTCCTAAAAGGCAATTATAATCATTTGTCAAATCAGCCTGCTGGCCTCCCCCGCCCGTGTGAGCCAACACCTTAAGGCGGTTTAGCGGGGCCGGCTCCGCACACACGGCCCTGGTGGGTAAATCCAAATCCGGGCAGCTGGGGCGGCTGCGCCCGCGCCGAAAACCAACCCACGGGTGGTCCTGGTTCCTGGTGGGCACACGGCGCTTTTGGGGGGGATCTCTTCGCTCTGAGCCACTTTGGAGCTCTTGGTGTCTGCGAGAGGTGCTGGGGTTGGGGGTCTTCCTGGGGCAGCTCTGCGCTCTGTGTCCCCGTGGTGCTGTTGGGAAGTCAGCGGAGAAGGGGATCGGGGTCTTCTTGCTGCCATCGTGGCGGCGCTAGCACAAGGTGCTCATTGGGATCCGTTTAATTGGGATCCATCTCGTTGGGATCTGGGATCCCAGCCTGGGAACGTCCCCACCACCCTACGGCAGCGCAGGAGAATGAAGTCTCACAGTGCAGCACCACCAGCAGTGACACGCAGTGGCTCTGGGTCTGTGCTGTGTTCAGGCAGAGGCACTTCTGTGGGTCAGTACAGTGCCTGGCGGTGATCGAAGCCCCACGGTGACGTTCAGCATCTGAAAGGGGAACTGTGCTATGGAGAGGATGGGGGTGGGAGGAAGCCGAAACAGTGGCCAAGGGCTGCGGCGTTGGCAGGTGACAGGAAGAGGGTTTTGGGGGAAAGTAAAATGGAGTGGAGGGCAAAAAGGGGAATCCTGGCAGCAGGGGGGCGGCACGGGCACCCAGACAGGAGGAGACACCATCGCAACGCTCCCGGCCCCCAGCGGGGCAATGTTTCTGTCCCACAGCCCTACAGGCGTGGGGCTGCCTGCACTGTGGATCCACATCCCACAGCCCATGGCCAGACCCCATGGACGGCCCCACGGTGTGTCCTCACGCTGTGTCCCATGCCCAACGCTTGTCCCTGCTCTTAGTCCCCACACCTGTTCCTCTCTGTCTGTACCCATGGCTGATGTGGCACACACACAGACGGCTCCAGAGCTGGTTCCCAAAGCTGGTACCCATGGTTGGTCCTGAGCAGATCCCCGTGCCTGGTGTGACATCCACAGCTGATCCCACAGATGGTCCCCAAGCTGCTCCCCACACTCGAGACTGCTCTCTATGCCCATTCCCCACACAAGGTGTGACACCTTTGGCCAGTCCCTACTGCTGGCCCCCATCCCTGGTGTGATGACGTCCATAGCTGGTCCCATTGCTGCACCCCATGCCCACTCCCCACATGTGGTGCGACGTCTACAGCTTGTTCCCATGCCTGGTGTGACTTCTGTGCTTGATGTGACATCCCTAGCTGCTACTACAGCTGGACCCCATGCTCATTTGCCATTCTCGGTGCGACATCCCAAGATGGTCCCATCACTGGTCCCCCTGCCTGACGTGGCATCCACAGCTGATCCCACTGATGGTCCCCAGGCTGGTTCCAATGCCTGGTGTGACATCCACAGCTGACCCCTTGCTAGTTCCCACGCTTGATGTGACATCCAAAGGCTGTCCCATTGCTCGACCCCATACCCACTCCCCATGCTCAGTGTGACATCCACAGCTGATCCCATCGCTGGTCCCCATGCCCACTCCTCATGCCTGGTTTGACTTCCACAGCTGATCCCATCGATGGTCTCCAAGCCGGTCCCACTGCCTGCTGTGACACCCAGCATCCCAAAGGACCCCACACGCTGCCACGAGGCCACCCCACCACCTCCACTGGGGGACGCAGCCCCCATGGCATCCCCAGCACAGTCCCATTCCCGGCGGCGCGGCGCTGGCAAAGCCAAAGGAAATTGTTTCTCTCCCTCCCCCCCCCCCCCCCTCGCCGTTCTGCCCCTCGCCCCGTGTTTCTAATTCTTTTTCCTCTCCCATAATGAGGGGATTACAAGGAAAACTCCAGCAGGACGCCTTTGTGGGGAGACAATCTGAGCGGGGAAGGCAGCGCGGGGCTTTGTGCGCCCGCAGCCCCCCCGGCCCGCCCGGCGCTGGGGGGACATTTAGAGCAATTACTTGTCCAGAAAGTAACTGTCAATCATTCTTAAAGGGGAAGGCCTCCAATTAATAACCTCGTCTTAATCCTTTGGACTCATTTCCAATCTGCGGGGCCTTGGTGACATCTGCAACACTAAATAAAGATTCTCCCGAGCCTTAGCGCGGCGGTTCTGTGACAAATAAGAAGACTAGAGGCAACTTTGGCTGCCAAGCTGCAAGATTGGTGAGGTTGAGCCGCTTGTTTGGTTCCCAGGAGGGACCGGCAAAGTTAAATACTCCTGGAAAAGCCGCGTCGGGCCCAGCAGGTAACGCCGTTTTACGGGAATTTGGGAGAAAGTGCCAGGGGAGGAGGCTCAGAGCGGAGCTGGGGTGGGCACAGTGCTGTGCTGTGCTGTGAGGACGTGGGGGAGGACGGTGGGTGTCCCCAAACCGCCCCACTGGGCATCCGAGCTGCCCTCCGATCCCCAAAGGGAGCAGCAGCCACTGTCCCAAAAGCTCCTGCAGGACACGGAGTGCAGAGCCTGCCTGCAGCACGCGGGGTGTGGGGACACCGATGGCCTCAGCAGCTGGAGGGGCTGCCTGCTGTGCCTGCTGTGCCCAGCGGGGCCATAGGGCTGCAGGGGGCCGCGGTGCCGTGGGGATGCGATGTGACGGCGCTGGGGACGAGGCGGGCGGCAGCAGAGCGGCAGCGGGGCACCGCACACCCATCCCACAGGGTGGTTTCTCTCTTCTTCCTGTTTTCTTGGGGCCTCCTTTCCTTCTGGATGGGTTTGGGGCTGTGGGGGCCATCTCATACACAGCCCTGGCCCTCACCCCACTGCCCCGACCTTCCCTGTCCCCGCTCGTCCCCATCCCCCTCACCCTGTGGGGTCGTGCACCGCTCACCCCTCTCCCCTCTCCTTGCAGGTGTGGAGCTGCGCAAATGAGAAGCGGGTAAGCATGAGTGGGATGGCAGAGGGGGGTCCCCAACCCTCCCCGTGCCCCCAGCCCCGGCACGGTGACAACAGGGCACGGCACCCCGAGGCTGCAGCACCCACACTGCACCAGAACCCACAGGGCTGGGAGGCATCACCCAGAGCTGCACGCACATGGAGCACACTGCAGGCACTGCCACTGCAGGCACTGCATGCCCTGAGCACAGAAGCACTGCAGACAGCGCTGTGCCTGCAGGTTGTGCGTGCACTGCACTGCACTCCTTGTGCCACGCACACTGCACGTGCACTGCACTCACCGTGCCCCACACATTGCATGTGCTGCAGGGCAGGCATTGCATGGTGGACACCGCACACCGGGCTCTGCACACACACTGCTCATTCCACATGCTCTGGCCGTGCCATGGGGGTTGGAGTGGGGTCCTGCAGTTTCAAGGGACGGAGCGTGGGAGTGGGGAGGAGGGATGGATCTGGCCAGCTCAGGTCAGCTCTGAGTGGTATTCAGAGCTGCTGGCCCTATAAAGTCCCCACGGAAGTGCCACAGGGATGGCCTGTCTCCTGTCCGTCCACTCATCCAGATGGAATTCATGGGATGGTCTGCTGCCCCCACGCCCCCCTGACCCCCCACCACCCCTCGCAGGTGCCGAGATGTTCCTCAATAAGTGTGAGGGGGAGCTGGGCGAGCTGCGGAAGCCGGGGGACGGCGAGGAGACGCCTCCAGCTGCTGCCGAGGAGGAGCAGCCCAAAAAGAAGCACCGGCGGAACCGCACCACCTTCACCACCTACCAGCTGCACGAGCTGGAGAGAGCCTTCGAGAAGTCCCACTACCCCGACGTGTACAGCCGAGAGGAGCTGGCCATGAAGGTCAACCTGCCTGAGGTCCGCGTGCAGGTAGGGGCGGCTCTACGCCTTCGTTTCCCCATCACTCAAGGCATGAGCTCAGTGTAGGTGCTTGGGGCTGCATCTTGCCCTGGTTCCGTAGGAAGGGTGACGACCCACAGCAGCTCCTCACCACTGTCAGCTCCTCAGGGCCAGGAAAGCACTGAGATTCTCATGGATTCAGGATTTTAGGTTTCGTGGAGCCGGGGCGCGGGGTGGTTTGGCACAAAGCCCTGCTCTGCGTGGAGGCTCAGCCTGGAGCAGACCCTGCTGCCAGCACAGGCAGCGACAGCCCTTCCAGTCACCAGGTCTGAAAGCACAACAAAAGGAGAGAAAGCCAAATAGAGCAGGAGTGACAAAAGAACAGGGATCGCTGGAGCCGCGGGGGACACAGCGCATGGGGCACCATACTCAGGACACCCCGAGGGGACACAGCACAGGGGGCCTGGAGCACCCCATGTGGGGCACCCTGCATGGGGCACCCCGCGTGGGATACGGCACAACGGGGCGCCCTGCATGGGGCACCCTGCACGGGGCACAGCGTGTGGGGCACCCCGCTGAGAACGCGGCACGGGGGGGACACACCACGTGGGACACTGTGCGTGGGCCATGTCACATA